GAAAACAAAAACGGCTCCAAAAGACGGAGACATGATTTACACAGAAAACTAAACATCTATAATACTATAAACCTATAGGGTATGCCATTATCAAGCTTATAAGGTAAATGTATTTAAGGACCATCGGAAGTTACTTGATACAAGCAGTAACTGAAACAGCAACTTTGTTAAGCATAACTTGGATGGCATCCCCCGACTAGTTGGTGCTGCAGAATTTGAGGGTGTCTTTCCGGCAACAGCAGGGGCAACTCCTGAGCTATTAGGGGTATTCTGCTGTTCTGCTGGCAGTGAGTTTGGCGAGTTACCATCTGCTGGAGCCAATGGCAGTTTATTATTATCAGTAAGGTCTTCACCTGACAAGCAGAAACTCTTATCAGACAGACATCCAAACACTCTTATTAGAAGAAACGTCGGCCAGGGTAAATTATTTGTTGAGAAGGAGCATCTGTCAGCTTAAAAAGAAAGTTCCTGAGAAAAGGGAATGTAAAAGAGTATCTGCAGAGTAGGCTAAGCTTCCCTTGCCTCTGCTACCCAAAATATCCTCCCCTCTCACTTTTCAGACAAGTAAAAGTAATAAACAACAGAGATAAGTGAAGGCTATGTTGCTCGGACTCTTTAAAAATGTCGCAGCACCCGTGTCGGATCCTCCGAAGATGCACTACTTTTGGAGGATCCGACATGCACCCCGGGACATTTTTGAAGAGTTTGAGCAACATAGAGTGAAGGCAGAAAAGCAAGTTTTGTTAGAAGCATTGTTTGGGTATTTTTTTCTTAGGAAAAATTAGCTTCAATTTAGGGTTAACTTGAAAGGGTCACAACTTTCTTCTTGATTGTTGTAAGAGGAATTAGAGCTAGTTCCTAGATTGCAATTGTTTTGTAATCTGAATTTAGCTACAGTCTAATGATTGTAGGGGTAAAGGACTAGACGTAGTCTCTTAAGTTGCAAGTTTTTGTAATCTGAATTCTATAGAGGCTCATGGTTTTAGTGAAGTTTGGGTTAAAACCTGCATAGGTGTAGGTGGTGGCTTTTTCACCCTTGTGAGCTGGGTGTTCCATGTAAAAAACGTGCGCTGTCACTGTTATTGTTACTTGATTCTGCAAACTACTCATAAGAAACAGATGACGTAACCTGGTTCATCACATAGGTATACCCCAATAGATCCCCCTTTTGTGTTTATTAGATCATGGAAATATATCATAATCTTTGGGTGAAACTGTGAATAGGGATGGCAATAGGGCGGTGCGGGGCGGGGGCAAGGCGGGTTGAGCTTAACCCGCAAAATTTATAATCCCCCCACCCCGCATAACAACTTTTTTAATTTTCAACCTGCCCCGCATAATTTTTTAAATATTTTATTTTTCTAATTAAGTTTGATACTAAAAATAAAATTCATAAAAATAAATTCATTTTTTCATTAAGTTGTATTAATTATATATAATGACTTAAAATTTTATTTTTTAGAGGTCAATGAAAACATGTAACAAATTGTATTGAACTATTTTCATTTACTATCTTAAATATTTTAGTATCTTCAAAAAAATAATCTTAATAAATAATGCTTTATCACTCTTATAACATGTAAAAAGTTAAATTAAGTTTGAACCCACATAAAACACCCATTAGTTTTTTAAAAACCCACTTCAACGCGCCCCGCACAACCTTAAACCCTCCCCGCCCTCCATCCACCCTGCTCCATTGTTATCCCTAACTGTGAAACAAGCTTGAGTATCACATTAACTCTTGTTGGGTGTAAAAATGCAATTCAACTTCTTAATACACAAGAAAAGGTTGTAAGAATTAAAAAAAAAAGAACTTTTAAGTTAATCACTCATGGCTACAAACAATAAAGAGAGAACAGCTAAATCCAGATCAGACCAAGAAATTATTAAATCAGAAATTGGTACTCACAGTCAGAGCGCGACCAGCCCAGTTTCAGGTTCTCTCTATCAAACACCATACGATATCCCGTCATGAAGTTCTCTGTAGAGGAAAATGATTATTAGCACATCCAAAATTTGAGAGAGGAAATTGCAGCACACATTTGCATTCAGAAACTTTTCACAGTGTTACCCCCTACTTTAGCAGGTGGAGGTTTTTTACAGTTGTAACTTGTAAGTATAGAGAAACGAAACCATAAGTGGAAGAGGATCAGGCTTACGTCCAATCGTTCCAATTTCTATGCCTGAAGGCTCCACAGCTAAACAAAATCCAACAGCGCCCTACATCGATATTGAATATAATACAGTACTGGTGAATGAGTTGAAATGATCAGAAGTGAAGGACCAAAAGCTTGCTTGATAAGATAACCAAGAGAAGGAAACATAGGATGCCTCACAGTTTATGTAATCAAAAGAACCAGAATGTTCATCTTTGAGATGCAAAAACAGGTGGTATATATTCAAGCACTTACTTGACTGCCATAGATCATAAATACAGGATCCTGGACTATAAAGCTGCTGTTCGCTGTGAACTTCAGAGTAAATGAAGGAATCTTCGGTAAAACTTCAGAACTGTCTAGGTTCAAATACTCATTCAGTACATATGATGAAGCAGAAAAAAGAAAGTAGATCTCTCTTTATCTTATATGCCATTACCTGGATTTGTAGCAATATTGCCAAGGATATCCTTCAAAGCTAGCTTTTGTAGCATTCACTTTTCTGTCAAACTGTAACAGGAAAAGGACATGTAAAATACTGCACTTTAAAGTACAACAAGGCAGCAAGTAGGTGTAAGCTTACCTCTTTAACAACTCTATCGTAAATTTGATCTGGGAGAAATGTAAATGATGACCCACTATCCACAATGGCTTTGAAGCTTGTCTGCTCAATACAGGAGCTCCCAAAACAACATGATTCCACGCCAACAACATAAGTAACACTGGACCATGAACCACTCATAATGTGAGCAAACAGAGAGTTTAACAACTCAAACATGCAAGAGAACAGCAGAGGTAAACGGACAAATACAGCACTCAAACTAATCAATTCTCTAAAATTCATAAGTTGACATACAATTGTCCTTCTGAAGGCAGAAAAGAAGTTGTCTGCTGGCCAGCAGGCCCTTGGTCTCCAAAGAAAATCCTTCCTGAATCATCTTCCTTAAAACAAAGAGAAAAGGAGTTTCGGACCAATCCAGCTTTGGCAAGACGACTGGGAACTGAGATCTCTCCAGGTCCCAAACCCATAAGGCCATCAGGTGCAACTCCATTTAGGTAACCACCAGTTTGCTTACTACCACATCTGACATGAAAAAGAATTAAGACCTGTTTAATATAGTCTTGGCATACAGAACCATGTGAAAATGGTCCCATGCATGAATGTCTTATTTGAACTTGAGATACAAGCAGATGACACACACCCAAAAGTGACTGGAGCCCTGGCAGAGCCGTTGGCTGCCATACGGTTGCCAGATGCAAGGTGCAAGATATCTTCCACGAGCACTCCAGATGTGGATGTATCTTCTGATACATAATTCACAGTGTACGGACAGGGCTGCTTAGGATTTTTGCAATTTGAACCCAGTTCACACAACTGATGGCTGCACGACAGGAACTTACTTGTGCTTGAACCAGATGGATTGTACTCATTTAGATCTTTATCCTGCATAATAGATGCCCCAAATACCAGGGAGCACCTGCCAATCAATCATCTGATATAAGTGCTAAACCTATAGGCAGTATTAGCAAAGACTCCGCATCTACATCAAGTACTAATATTTATATAAAGAAAATGAGAACGGTATTTTATTAGGAGAGACACCAACTCCAAGAAAACTATTCTCAGTTACCATGATGTGACAAGACAGCTCACAATGATATTGAATAAAATGTAGAAATTTCTGAAGTTCCCAACATAATATATGAACTGTGTGTTGTTTTCAGATGAATAGAACCCAAATATATACAATGTAGAAAGATGAGATGACGTAAAAATCCATGAAGACATAAATAGTCACAGGTTTGTTTACCTAACGCTTATTCTGTTGGAACCTTCTTCCTTTTTATTTTCAGTTTTTAAATTAACTTGTTTCTCCAGTGCCTTAATGTATTATTGGGGTGTCCAACTAGGCCAATACTAACATAACCTGGCCAATTGAGAATAAACTATTGATAGGTCAATCTAGACAGGTGGGGTCCTGACCAATTGTTTCACTCAAACTGATCCAACCTATCTTTGACCAAAACAGCATTGTGGGTTGGGTCATGGCCCATTGGTTCACTCACCCCACTTAAACCCCTTCAAGTTGCCCAAACCTCCCAGTTAATAATCTTAGTATAATCAGCTCCCCAATGGTCTCTGTCTACTGTAGGCATAAATTATAACTAACATAAGGATCATATCCAATGGAATTGGCGATACTGAATGTATCTGAAATAGCCTTGGACCCTTCTGTTATTCTATACTCAAAAGTAAAACTTAAGTTTTTTCAAGGAAGTTAGTTTTAGCTGGCTCAAACTCAAAGTGGTATCACACTACTTGTTTAGTGACATAAAACGGTCCGAGGAATCCTGATCAGTTATCAACTAAAACTAAAAGAAGAAGATATTAAAAGACAAATGGTAGAAATAGAAACCAAATAAAGAATTGAACAAGTTCACAAAGTGTCGATTATAGACTGGGGTACTTAGAGCCTGTTTGGATTGACTTATTTTAGGTGTTTTTAAGCTAAAATAGCTTTTAAGCACTTTTGAAGTGTTTGGATAAGATTAAAGGTGCTTATAATCACTTACTTTTAAGCCAAAATAAGAAAAATAAGCCAAAATCCATTAGTTAGAAATCCCAACTTATGGCTTTTGGCTTATAAGACAAGCAATAAGCCAATCCAAACAGCCCTTAACCAGTAAAGGCCCAGTTTTAGTTACCCCAACTCCACTAAAAGTTAGAAATCATATATCATCATATATCATATATCATATATTTATATAAAAGAGAACCATACGCCCGCCTACGTGGCGCCACCACAAACCAGGATTCCTTTTTAAGTTATTTATTTCCAAAACTAGTCATCCCCTTTCCTGAAAAGTTGCGACTTTTATGAAGAGTTGCGACTTTTACGAAGAGTTGGGACTTTTATGAAAGGTTGTGACCTTTCCAAAGGGTTGAAACTTTTCCAAAAAGTTGTGACATTTTCGATAAAGGCACAATAAACATTTGTTCACACTACCCTTTGTTTCTATAAATAGAGGGATTTCCTCTCATTTTAAAACAACGAAAATTCTGAATTTCTTCTTCTTCAACACAATTAAATATTTGTGTACTTTGCTCCTGTTGAGTGGCTCACTACACCATTGTTTTTGTATCAATACACTGATGAGAGGATCTAATCCTTTCAACCTCGAGTACTAGAGGGGAATAATTTCCTTAAAGGACCATTGTGCATTCAGTGGGCTCGATTTTTTCCTTTCTATTTCATTCTATTGTTACAGATCCTCATGATATGTTTTTTTACAGTCATTAATTTATACTTATGTTATTAATTATTGTTTTTGGGTACATGTTTTAAACTTTGTTGTTTATGTTTCTGCAAAGTTATTGTTATAAGTATTTGTTAGTACAGATTAAATAACACACATTAATTGAGTATTCACGCAAGTTTTATCTACTGAAATTGTTGAAGGTACAGTAAAAAAATTCCTTAAAGATCTATACTACCATCTCTTGAAGACAAAATTCAAATTTGGTATGCCATTGTAAGGACATAAAGACCTTAAAAACTTTTTGGCACCTTGATGTGCAAAGTGAACCAGGAAAAGAAGACAAGAATTAATAAACTTCGACATGGGTTCAAGGATGTGCTGAATGACCTATAGAGGAATATGACTAGACTAGAGCCTCTTTTAATCCCAAAGACATAGACAACTACATAATAAATTAATTGCAGTGTGGACAGATTCTCAAGTTTACTGCAAGTTGTAAATACTTTTCTTGAAGTAATAAATGTATTTCTCGACACTGCGATTGGAATAGAACTGTAGTTTCAAATTGAACTTCATCACTCTGGTATGTTGATTTTTAAAAAACACTCAAACAAACTGAACAGTTTTGTGTAATATTTTTCCCTTTCAAGTAAATATAATAGGTTGAATTGTTGTCCAATACGATACATTCTCCCTTTAATTTTTCATTTTAATAATTACTTATTATACATTTAAATTGGGAACTTTAAAATGATAGATGTAAAGCAAAATGTAGGGTTGAACTTTCTACACGTTAGAATTAGAATATTTGTTCACTTTTTTCACCCTTTTAAAATTTATTTATCCTTTCACCAACGATTACTTATTTATTAGAAAATTTAATATCTCCGATTGATGTTCATTTGATTCCCCAAAAATATCAAATAGTAACATTTCCTGGAAGCAAAAGGATAAATTATAAAATCAAATTAAAGATGATTGATTGGAGGATAAATTATAAGATGGTATACTTATCATCTTCCTTTACATTATTAATGTTTGTTACTACTCTTGTATGTAAGATAATATAGTGTATAGGTTTTAAGTATTATTTTATAAATTCCGTGATATTAAATTCCCACGCGAGGTGAGGGTGATTTTACTAGTTTTGAATAAACAAGAAACATTCTGAATGCAGTTCGTGACCTTGTCTACCTGATAATTGAAGAGTTACAAGTTCTAGTGACTCTTCTAAGCATAAACATAATTGACATCAAGGCTTCTTCTTGCCTTTCCATTTAATTGACATTAAGACTTTTTTTTATGAAGTAAGTGAGATGCAATTGACATTAAGACTTGAAAAAAAAAAAAATTGCTCGTTAGAAGTATGTAGCTAATATAATTCCTAAAGCATTAAAAAAATCAGAAGTCAACAACGCACCTTGTGAATGTGATCTCTCTCAACTGAAGGTTAAGAATTGGCTTATATATGTTCCGATGAAAATATTTTAACCTTCCAAATGATTCACCTCTGATAAAATTTAAATGAGCGAATAGAAAGATACGGTGTTTGGCTCCAAAGTCTGGTCACAACTCACTACTAACTACCATATCTATCCTTCTATAGCAGCCTAAGTGTTAACTATAAAGATAACCTTTTTTTAGAAGAAAACTATAGAGGTTAAGATAAAGATAGTGTGCTGTATTTATTTGATAAATAATTTTACAGCGTGATGTGGATGTCAAACTGCTCAACTGAAACCAACAAAGGCAGATATCATCTACGAGCCTAACCTATTTGCAGTCACTACCAGCAAGAAGCTAGGAACAAACATTTAGAATAGTCATATAACATTCTTGATTAATATTGCATACCAGGCTACTATAATAACTGGCTGAAAGAGGAGCGCATTGTACACATTCACATGGAACCCACAGCAAGTCACTTCCAGCATCCAGTGCAACGAGAAAAGAAACATTTGGCGTTCTATAGCAGCCTAATGTTAACTATAAAGATAACCTTTTTTTAGAAGAAAACTATAGAGGTAATAAAGATAAAGATAGTGTGCTGTATTTATTTGACAAATAATTTTACAGCGTGATTTGGGTGTCAAACTGCTCAACTGAAACCAACAAAGGCAGCTATCATCTACAAGCCTAACCTATTTGTAGTCACTACCAGCAAGAACCTAGCAACAAACATTTAGAATAGTCATATAACATTCTTGTTTAATATTGCATACCAGGCTGCTATAATAACTGGCTGAAAGAGGAGCGCATTGTACACATTCACACGGAACCCACAGCAAGTCACTTCCAGCATCCAGTGCAACGAGAAAAGAAACATTTGGCGTTCCTATATCAACCCACATGTAATGTAACCTGAGCAAAAGTGCATAATATTGGATTAGTATCATCCTATAACCTGGAATGCCAACTCTTACAATATAAAACACGAAAAAGAAAAAAAAATCAAGCCCCAATTCCGAACTTGCATGAAACCTTACAGATCAAGAAATGTAATCCACATACAACATTAACCTTCATTTCATAAACCCCTAACCATGTTTTTAAATTTAATTCAAGCTGAAACCGCTAATTTCAGAAAGGTTTTCAGTAACACTTTACATTTCACCCAGGTTTTCAGTAACATTTTATAGTTCATCCCCCAAGGAGAAAAATAATACATTAATCAAACCCCAACATCCTTCTGTTCAATGGTACATGTATCAGTGCTCCATATCACTCCACTCTGATTATTCCAATATGTTCCATTTTTAGCATATGCTAATCTGGTGTATCCAATAAATACATTACAAGGCAAACTTGATTTCGGAGTAGCTTGTAGTTATACAACAGATGTGGGATAATTTACAACATACAATTGTCTTAGTACTTAGCAAAAACCATTGACTTTTCATAAATGCTTTCAGAACTCAATTTTTTGTTTCTATTTAACAACAAACTATAAATTGCTCAGACAGGCAAAAGCCAAAAATCAATGAAGTCCTAATTGAACTTACATCCACTTGAAACTAAAAAATATCCCAAAGCTTCCAAACAAGAAAAATGTCACATCATCATCCCAAAAATAGATACTTTGACAAAAACACCAAATTTAGACCATACAATTAGAAGATAAATTTGTCCCTATTATTTAATGACCCATTCACTTTTTCATTAATGCTTCCAAAACCCATATTTTAAAATTCCCAATTAGTAACATATTGTAAATAAACATGTTGGATATATAAACAAGAAATCCTTAACTATACACACACTGATTAAAAGTCACTCCTAACAACAATCACAACTCTTTTTTCAGAAAGATGGATTCACTAACCCCTCAAACAGTATTTCCTTAAGCTGTTTTCATTTCCGTTATTTTTTTCTCTATACTATTTTGGACTGTTTTTTCTTGAGCCAACGTCTGTCTATTGAAAACAGTGTCTCTACCTCTAAGATAGTGGTAATATCTTTGTACATCAAACTTTGCTCAAAAAGAATACTTAATTAGAAGGATAAACAAAGGAGAAAGAAGGTAACGAACCATCCAAAGTCATTTCCCAACGGCATCGTTTTGCTACCCTGAGAAGGAAAAAGTAGCTGAAACTGAGGACCAAGCTTCATTTTTTGCCGCTGCAAATCACTGTTCATCAACTTCCCATAATACTCGAAGCTCCTATGTTGCGGCCACACAACACCCACTTCCCCATTCCTTGAAACCCTAACTTTCCTCACTTCATCAGAGAATCTATGAACTAATTTTGACGAATACATATCGGATACCCCACATTCAACCAGTATAGATAAACCCAACACCATCGCTACAAAACCCACTTTCCAAATCTCCATTTGAATTACAATAACTCCACAAAACACACACCCACTTACTCAAGATCTAATTTAACAAAGTGTTCCTCATCATAAGATACTGCAAATAGGTCTCTCTCTATTAACAGAGTGAAGGGATATTGTCAGATGGGATAAAATTAATGGCTATGGGGTAGGTGGGTGATTGTGTGTATATATATACTCTATATGTATAGGTGTAAGTGTGACATAGAAGAAGAATTTTGGGGGAAGTGAAGAGAGAAAAGTAGAAAAGGGGAGGAGTAAGAAAGAAGACGAAGATGGAGATCACGCGTGTCACTAAGCATTGTGGTGGGAATCTATATAATGCACATACACACTCTTTTTTTCATCCAGTTTCGAAATCCGTATTGAAGTTCCGATTTAATTTGAATCTCATTATGGGCCCATTTAGGAATGATGTTTGAACTCAAAATCTCTAGTTAAAGGTGAAGCAATTTCATTACTATTTTATATAATAAAGTCACTCGAAGAGTCGAAAGATAAAGTGTACGGAGAATCATTACTTTGAATATAATTATTATCTTGTGAAGATACTCGTAATATTCTCAATCCAGTAAATCCAAATAAATAAAAAAGTGCAAAAAATATAGCAACTAAATAAGGTGCAGGATAAATCCTATAAAAACAAACCAAGAACAATAGATAATTAAAATATACTATAATAAACAATAGATGATGATAAATATCACAATTCAAAATTGCAATAATAATAACATTCTATCTTAATATGCGTCTTACATACCTTTTACCTAAGCTCATCGTTTCAGGTAATTTGAAATTTTGACATGTTTTTTTGTATCACGTCTGTTCAATACCCTTTCTAATTACCTCTATCTTTATGTGTACCTACTATAATCAACCTCTCGCACCTTCTAAATTGATGGCATCTGTCAATCTCCTTTTCACATGTTCAAATAGTGTCAACCTAATTTTCTCATTTTGTCCAGCACAAAAATCGTTCATTTCTTAACCGGTCTATCACTCCCCGTTTTAAATTATCTAGCATAAAATTTAAAATTTAAAACGAAATAAAATAGTTTTAAAACTCTTCCAATTAAATATTTTTTAAAAGAGCATAAAAAAAAAGTTAAGAAGATATTTGAGATGGAGAAAGTAATTTATTTATTTATTAGTATTTAGTTGGAAGGGAGAAAGTAGTTATTGGTAGTACTAATATGTGTAGCCAATGGTCTCTCATGTTTTATCTATTTAAGAGATTCAAATATTTTGGCATAACTATTTAACTGATTTTACGACAAACTCCTTTTTATAACATTCAACATTCCAAATTCAATGATAAAGTACACAATAATTTAAATGTGATTTTGTAAAAAAGAGAAGTATATATTGAAAATAATTCTCCATTTGATGTAAGTTATTAGTTTCGCTTTTAAACTATTGATAGTCTTGAAAATATCATTTTTATTTGACAAACGAAACTTAAATATACCCAAAGTGCAACATGACATAGTAAATGATCTCAAACTTTTGCAAGATCTAGAGTTTATCTAAGTTTAGTTAGTCAAGTAAATGGATAATTTCAAAATTGTCAATAGTTTGAAAATAAAACTCCCGGTTGATTTTACTTGTCACTATTTGGTTTGACACACTCATTAAGAAAACAATTATCGATATAGGCATTTTATCAAACTATCCCTATTAACTGATGTTTAATATTAGGTATTGGAAAATGATTTGAAGAATAAGTAATTAATGCTATAGGTAAAATATGAAGAAAAAAAAACTATCTTTTTTTTAAATGTCAAAAATGACAAGCAAAAATGAAAATCTATTTTAGAAATAAGTGACAAATAAAAGTGAACAGAGAAAATAATAATTTACACAAAATTTAAAAGTATTTTCAATACTTCTTTCTTCGCAAAACATTGATGAATAATTACAAATATATACAAGTAAAAAATAACAGTGATAAATGAGACATCGAGCACCAAAAATAATTGGCATTGTTTTGCACATCTAAACTACCTTCACTTATTTCCAAAACGCTAAACTTTGAATGGTATTTTTTATTTCTTACTACTAATTAAGCCCCCGTTAATCTGATATACTTCTTTAAGAAAATAATTAAAATGTATTTTGTTAAATTAATATTACTGATTTAAAATTTTAAGTATGACTATTATATTACTATTATATGTAATTATTTAATACTAGTAAAGATAGCATAAAAAATTTAATAATAAAACTTTCTTGATTTTTCAAAATAAATAAATAAAATAAAAATATTTATATTTTAGTATAGAAATCAAAAGAAATGGATAGAAAGGACTATATTTGAAGCTATAAATATATGTTTAAATATATGGAGTACATAAGTATTGTTAAAAAAAATAAAATCATGGAGTATTATATTGAATTATTATTTTAAATATGATATTTGTTTAGTTCGTTACATAAAAATTTATTATATTGTATTGCTAATTCTATTGTTATGTAATAATAATAAGCCCTCATCATAAACTATTAATGGTGATATCGAATTGTTACCTTATTTTTTAAAGGGAAAAGGGTTTGAAAAATACTTTAACTTTGGCCGAAATTGTTGTTATGATATCAAATTTTATGGAGGACCTTTTACCCCATGCACTATTTAATAGTGTATTTTAAAGGTATATATGTGCCCACGTAGACACATTACTATTTATAATGATGTAAATATTTATGATGTCCACGTTGACACATATATACCTTTAAAATACACTATTAAATAGTGAAGGGGTAAAAGGTCATTTCCAAAGTTCGATATTGTTACAGCAATTTCGATCAAAGTTCAAATATATTTCAAACATTTTTTCCTTTCTTAAATTATTTTGTCCTTAACAGTATTTAGTATGATCTCCACTCCTTTAACTTGTTTTTATCTTCTTCTTTTTTTATTGTATTTCAAATTTATCGAAAGTAATATTTCTATCTTCACAAGGATTGGAGTAGGACTATATACCCCAGACTCTTTTTCTTTTTTGATGACCATAGTATCCAGATCAGTTTTCGCACACCTCGACTAATTCCACGGGATATCTAACATCTTCCACCCACCAGCAACATTTTATATATATATATATATATATA